CACCAGCTCAGTTACCATGGCCGGTAACTCATGTGGAAACCTGCCGATAGAATCTGGGGAAATATGGCCTGAAATGCTGCTTACGTTAGTTAATTATGTCGAGCACTTGTTTGAGAGCTGTCGTGTTTTTTGTTTGCCTTATTTATATTTGAGTCACCCCTCAATAATAGGCATGGATATTTAGAAGGCTGAACCATTTTTAAACCGATCAATCCTTGGATCCGTTCGACGTCAAACGACTAACCAGCGAAGAGAAACGATGTGTGGTTAGAAACAGCTGATGTGACTAAGTACTGGCTTAACCAGTGCTTTTAAAAAAGGACAACGTAGCCAAATTTGTTAAATGTATATGACACGGAAGATTGCATGACCACGAAAAAGCTTTTTAAATGCTTGGTTGGCCTACTTGTTGCCGTAGGATGGTATTTCCTAAGCGTAGGCTTATTTTGGTGGGAAGCCACAGGGATCAAGGATTTTATTGTCCCAAGAATTGGCGTACAAACGGATAAGATAGTGTCTTTGAAGTTACTCTGTCTACCCAGTTTGTGGAACTTTCAAAAGGGAATATTTCTTATCAACTGATGAGATTTTGGTGGCATGTGCGATAGTTTATCATGAAATGACTGTCCGTGTGTGAGTTTTCGCATCCAAGAACGATCACTTCATATTTCCTGCCATTTCACTGAACCTTACTAATTGTTAGCTCAATAGGTCCTCTGAATCCGTCCAAAGTGATATCGCTCTTCAGTATGCTTACTGTTAATCGGGAGTTTGGGTAAGTAGTAATTCAATCACACTTAGAATGTGATGAGACTGCCAGTGCACTGCAAAAGACTTCTTACTTCCACAGATTGTGAACTGAGAGCAATATCAGTTTTAGTTAGACTTCACACACTGTCTTCCAACCTATGTGACATCACTAAGACACGGAATCCTCAAAAACGCAGGACAAATATCAGTCAGTCATAATTTGGAGTAATCTGGTCTCTCTAGAAGTGAACTCATCAAGTGTGCTGAGTTCATCACATCGTCCGAGTCCGTACTACCGTTTCTAAAAGGATGGCTGGAAACCACCCGTAGATCAACATTAGCCCAATTTTGGCTAAATGTCCAAAACATACATTCTCTGATCCACTGATGATAGCACATCTTGTTGTGGTTGAATAAACTATAAGGTTGAATAAGCTGGTGTTGTTAATCCACCTTCCTTCAATCCGTATACTGTCATAGCAGGGGTATATCAGTTTATGTTTTTTTGGGAGGGGGAGCAACATTCTGTAACGAGACGTGGATTGGGAACAATGTAGGAAAGATGGACGAGACGACCAGGATTGTGTGAGGATGGATGAGTTGTGGAAGCCAAGACAGTGAGACAAAGGCTAAAAAGTTGAAGCTGAACAGTCCTGAAACGACGTTTTGAAGAAAACTGATGTGAGCAGCCTTGCGAAAAATTTCCATTTGGATGTTGCTCCTTTTATGCATTAGCTAGAATTCACTTTGGAACACTATTTATGGTATCCGATGTTTATAGCGGACTTTATAAATTTAAACACGGTGTTGTTTATTGGTACCATCGTGATAAGGTTTTAATTAACTTCCACGTTTGATTCTATCGGCTTCAGTGGGACAGCAACTTAGCAGCGTCAAAGTTATCTCATAAGGTGGTTGTGTGAACCCCATCAGTGGCAGGAACATCAACGTTCGGTCGGTTTTGAGAAGCAGTCTACGACGTGTTAGGGGTGATATGTCATGCACTAAACAATATTAGTTGGGGCAACGCTAATTGCAAGTCATTTAAAACGGACAAATGTGGGCGGATTATTCTGCTGCTAAACACCCTTGGACAGCTATTAGGTTATTTTCACAATCCCATCATTTCAGAAGTAAGTTTGATATATGCGAAAACTGTGAGCGTCACACATGTTCGAATGTGATTCTAGCGAAGTTTGTAGTGTGCACGTTCAATTTCGGTTCATAATTTCCGCCCAGTATCCCGTCTGCTGTCTCACGTAGAAGTTTGGTTAACTAACGGTTAGACTATATCCGCGTGCTAAAACATGTATGCGAACGTGGAAAATCCCGAAATTGGGAACGAAACCGCATTCCTGTGGGTGTACCGGAGCCACTGGTATTCCGGCAACCAGAATGATGTGCTGCCACACACATTGGCTATACGTCATGGTTGCACATCCTGAATTCACAGATGATTCTTCGTTTCCAAGTTGATTAATTTACAAAGCACAGATACTCTGGGGCATCTCCTAAAATTTAGGTAGTAGCTGAACACCACCCAGCCACCTGTAAGTTGACATTTCCACTTTTATTGGGTTTGATTACCAGTTCGCCTATGTGCTACTCACACGATCTTACTGTCAAGTGATCTAAAACTGTCATAATTTCTGAGGATTCATAGCCAGTGATTTAGTCTATAACGGATATTTTATGCACTTTAAAAATCGAAGTTCTGGTGAAATTTCAGGATAAAATTGAGTTTAAATTGGCTCTAGTGTTTGAGTAAATAACTCGAACAGTCAAAGCTATAGAAATTGCTTTGGTAGTAGACATTAGCTAGCTTTTCGTTTAAGCATCAACGTGGAAAAATGCGAACGCAAGACCAAATGGTTTTAAAGATGTTCCAAGTCTCCCGAGAACTTGACTAACATAAATGCCACAGTTTTTTATTTGCAAGCAATCGGAAACCAGTTTCAGTATTTAACTTAAATGAAACATTTCATATTGAACTCCTTGATGATAAACAGTCAAAATGCACCATTGCCCTCTGAGGTTAAATACCAGTCTCAGGAGACACTGAAATTAGTGGGTGCATATACTTCGTGGCTGGGCTATAGGCCAGTCCATCTGTTTGAAATAAGCCTTGTTGAGTATGCTCCAGTTAGTCACATTCATTTACAATGGCTGTTTTAGGTCGCACACCACAAAAGGCAGCAAACAAACAAAGGTGCTGGGCAGACTTTAACAAGTATTCTCTAGACGTGGTCCGCGGTTAGACCTCAGAACCTTAGGTTGAGCACAACGCTACCTGATTCACCAAGAAATTGAAATTTTCTAATTTCAATGTTGTAGAAATTTGAGAGGCCTGGAGTTTACTACGGCCAGATTTATCATTTAGATGCAAGGAACCTGCTACATAACCACACGATACACTATTCCGGTATTTTATATGCAATCCAAAGTACTGGATTATAATCCCACAAAAATCTTTCATTCTAAAGGGGGATTGTTAAGATCCCTAAACGTTTCCATATGGTTTACACGTGTGGCAAGCGCCAACGGTTGGTTCCTCTCTATGACACGCTTTCTGTTTGCACATTTCAGTCATCTGCCGCAGCGCCCCATCTGCATGCTATCACTATAAATATATATCCCCGAAGAATCCTGGGAATATTTTCATGGTGCTACAGTAAGAAAAAATGAGTTATTATGTAAAAAAATAAAAGGAATGATGGACGCCGTCATTACCTTTGTGATGAGCAAGTCATTGAGCCCGGTGTACATTGTTATACCATCATATTTAGACAAGCTGATGGATTGCAGTAGGCTTCTGCACACTTTCCGCTTGATATGATTCTTTCTGGTCTGCGTAGGAGCTGAGACAATGTACACGTTGGAACATTCCACTACGTGATACACACCGTAGCTCTCCACTTATGTGCAAGACTTTATGAGCTTAACCACTGCTCATTAAGAAACTCGATTGGAGTCTGAATGTGTGTCTAACCCAGTCAGGAAGGTGAGCAAACATGCGAAGGAGGGCAGGCGGGTATGGCTCGAATGATCATATTGTGGGGCAATCTTTTGGTGACTGTGTTTTATTCACACCATCTAAAGTGCAATTTCAGCGTCTAACGACAGCAGTTGGGATTAAGCGCGTGCGTCCTTAAATGCGTTTCTATCAACCCGCTTCTGTAGTTACCCAAATTTAGTGTGGGATTTAGATTTTCTCTAGCCTGGCAGTCCAGACGGCCGACAAAGATATCGAATGCTAGCGTTTTCAAAGCGTTTAAAAGCTTTTCTGGTGAAAGCAGCACCTGCGGGTATATGGAAGTATCGCATTGTGCTCCACTATAGTACGGTCTTCACTTTTGTATGGCAGAAAACCATGAACAGTATGGTCTTTCTATACCTTGACACCTTGATCCATTTCATCTGCAGCTTCATCGGAGACTTATGTGCACACAATGGTCAGGCATACACCCGTATAGCCGAGTTCGTGGAAGGAACAATTGCGGAATCAAAGGCAGCTTGATTATTAGCCAGCTGCGTAGGTTGGGCCATTAATGTCGCACGTCCTGGGATCGCATTCCGAAACAATTGCCGTATTGGCTGTGGTTGACAAAGACCAAATGGAGAAAAGGCATATTCCGACAAATGCACTCCATTGCATACTAGTTTGTTTTTACAAAAACTCAAATGAATCTGCCGTTTATGATATTCACTTCAAATGGCCGACCAGATATAATCTCCGTGGGATGGTCTAATCTGGGAGGGAGACTGAGAATAAAATGAGAGGGGAAAATGGTGTATTTTGCTGACAGCCTTTCCTAATGATGGTATATCTAGAAGGAATACGATATGTATTGGAAGAAATAAATAAACCATTACGTCCTACACGAATGCACACTGCATATTTATTGATGTAACATCATGTACTTTCTGCACGAAAATGAATTTGGGTTTAGGTGTTCTTTGTCCTCCATATTCAATCATTTCTTGACGATATTAAGGGTGATTAGGTTTGTTAGGGTGACAGGAAACGCCACGTTAGCTGGTATACAAGGGCGTTTACAGGCTGCAATCTACTATAAAGTAAACCAAACAAATATCGTCGTGATAATTTATTGTTAGCAAGATAAACCGATTATTTGGTGAAAATATATACGTCACTGATATCTGATGCTTGGTGGCCTTACGAAGAGTCCCTGGTGAAATTCCGGTCGGATTGTACGAACTAGTTTTCTATAGAGGAGAATGTCGGTAGCTCAGGTAGCGTAGATGGTCGTTGGCTTGTTCGTTGAGCTGGGCAATTTGGTTGCAAACGTTTCATCACCAATCGAGGTGACATCATCAGTGCGTAGTTGTGCGTAGCGGTGGGTTGGTGGTTGTGCGTTCAGTAGTGTTACGTGTGTGTTGATATACGTGCTGGTAGCCGGGGATGACCTTTGACCGCGCTTAGTTATTCTGTCGGGCGG